TCAGGAGTATGTGCAGGAGCCAGGCCCTGTGACCAGTAGGACTTTGCTGGGCTGGGGCCTTCCTACGTTTGTTCTGAAGAGGAAAGGCGCGGCCGCACAAGTGTGGCCAATTGGTAACTCACAGCACCTGGTGGCAAGAGCCGGGAGGGGGTATAAGGTCAGCATTTCCCTTCGGCTCTTTGCCACAGCAACATGTTTCCTGCCATGCTGCGTTTGACTGCTTGCTCCTCGGCCCTTGATTTTGTGACTCCTTGCTTCTTGATCCTCAAACCCTTGACTTCATGACTCCTTGATCCTTGGACCCTTCCTGATCCTCGGACCTTTGGCTTCTGGATTCCTGGCTTCTGGATTCCCATTCCTGCTCCCTCCCTGCCATCTTGCCCCCAGTCCCAATGTCCCCAGCTGGGACTTCGATCGCCCGTGAACTGGACTGTGACACACCATGTCACTCCCAGGAGACGCGTGGCTCGGGCACGCTTCAGGCCAGGCCCCGTGGTAAGTGCCTCCCCCCACGGTGTGCCATTTTGTCACCCCCCTCAAGGATGACACCCAGGGCAAACAGCACCCCCCCACCCCTTCCTACGCCCCTGCTACCATACCCTCCAATATTTCTCCAATAAAAACAAGGACGTTCTAAGAAAAAGAGGGACATTCCGGGATCAAATCAGAAGCCAGGGCAGCTTCTGTAAATCCAGGACTGTCCCAGGAAAATAGGGACACTTGGAAGGTCTGTCTCTAGCTATTGAACTGATGTCCTGTTTGTGGGCTTCCCAGAAGCATCTATTCAATTGCTGTGGGAAAACAGGAAGCTGGACCAGATAAGCCTTTGGTCTGTTCTAACTGGCTTCTAGTTGTGCTAAATTCAAACAGCTCCCCCCCCCCACTTCCCTTTCAAATAAAATAAAATAAAAAGCTAAATAAATAACTTTCCCCCCAGCATCACTGCCTGAGGCAACTGTGTTATTTTTACCTCACAAAAGAGGCCCGGTCTTGTACCTTGGAGAGAAGTCCTAAGGGTTTCATAAATATAAATAAATATAAAAATGTAAAAATACAAACAACAGAGATAATACATCTTTTAAAAAATTATCCGGGGAAGTGATTCAGAGTAAGTAGCGCTAACTATGAGGAATTGGGCGATTTGGAAGAAGGCCGGTATGTTGCCTCAGATGCTATCCCCCTTGGCTCCCATTGAAAACCTTAAAGAATTGTCCAGAGGAAGAAGAATATATATGTTTTATTTTTATTTCAGAATGATTCAAGGAACTAATTCAGTGAGTCACACTAAACATGAAGCATTGGGCGATTTGGAACCAGGCAAGGGTTTTTGCCTCAGATTCTATCCCCCGGCTGCTGCTGTTGAAAATATGAAAGAGTTGTTCAGAGGAACAGGAAAAGTCATTGAACCTCCAAGCTTAGCTCTTGCTAGGGTTTGGTTGGCTGAAAAGCAGGAATTGGTACTGGGGGAAAGGCATAAACAAAGGCAGGTGCTTAAGCACCACAGCGATTCAGGCAAACAGGGCAAAAATAACGTGGGAGGCAACAGTTTCAAGTTACCGGTCTCTGCAGCCACAACAGGCACTGTGATTCTCGGTTTGACTTCACCCCTGGAGGCGCACTCCAGTGTCTCTCGAGACAGACGGATGCTGACAAGGACCCTGTCCTGAGAAGCCTAGGAACTGTAGTTTAAGGATGCTGGGAATTGTAGTTCTGTGAAGGATAAACTACAGTTCCCATTATTCTTGGTGTTTAGGCTGCCGTAAAACTGCTATTATATACTGAGCAGCACCAGCAGAAACCAGCAAGGGAACCCCAAGGTACAAAAACAAAGGGAATTCAAATGTCTTTTCAGGGCTGCCACCTTTAGTTTGCCAATCGCTGCTACTGCACCTTTAAGGACAGCAGCTTATTCCAAAAGCATAATCAGGTTATCGTGTTTCTCTCTGTCATATGAAAAGCTTGACTTGCTGGTTTCTGCAGATCAAGCTGCTGTTAAGGCACAAGAATGGAGCAGACTAGTTGTATCTTTTATTGTTGATCTGTTGGCAACAACCACCGGAGTATTTTAGACCTCCTCCTCAGCTGTTCTGATGCTTCTCTGCTTTATCCCTTCCCTCTCCATGTGGGATCTCCTGGCCCCCTCCCCAAAGAAAGCTTCAACCTTTTATCAGCTATATTTCAGGCAGAAAATTTACGGGTGCAGTTTTTCCCCTGAAGGAGAGGCAGAGCTGCTGCCCTGTTAGATCGTTCCTGTCCAGGCATCTGTTAAAAGAGCAAGTTGCTTTTGTGAGGGGAAAAGACAACAGTCCTCCTTTCTTACAGGCCATCCCTTTTCTCAAAGAGGGCTGCCTCTGTTTCCTGTTGTAGACCATGCCATGATCTGTCAGGAGAACACTATTAACACCCCAAGCATGGTAATACAGGAGCAAGGAAGAAATGTCAGGAAGTGGTTTCTGCAAAATGTTTATGTGGGAAGTGGGTGTTACCATTCCACCCCCAAAAGCAGCCAGAATTTCAAGAAACGAAGCTTTCTCCAGCACTAAAATTCCATCCACAGCAGGAAAAGCTGTACCTGTCAAACTTCTGCCTGCTGAGCAGTTGTTAAAGGCCCAGAGTCCTGTTATGGGGGGAAAAGGTGAGTTTTACATAGAACCTTCCAGTCAACTGTGGATTACTCTGAAGCCAGTGTAGCTCAAAAGCTTGCACGTAAATTTCCACATATTTAACATTTCCAAATGGGTAGCTGTGTTAGTCTATTGTAGCCAAGAAAACGTATTTTGGCACCACGATAATGCATTTTTTCAATTTCTTCCTGCAATTTGTAATAATAATGATGATGATGATGATAATTTATTTATTTATACCCCGCTCATCTGGCTGGGTTTCCCCAGTCACTCTGGGCGGCTTCCAACGCAATACTAAAAACTCAAAAAGATCAAACATCAAAAACTTCCCTAAAAAGGGCTGCTTTCAGATGTCTTCTAGATACAGTGGTACCTTGGGTTAAGAACTTAATTCATTCTGGAGGTCCGTTCTTAACCTGAAACTGTTCTTAACCTGAGGTACTACTTTAGCTAATGGGGCCTCCTGCTGCCGTCGCACAATTTCTGTTCTCATCCTGAAGCAAAGTTCTTAACCCGAGGTACTATTTCTGGGTTAGCGGAGTCTGTAACCTGAAGCATCTGTAACCTGAAGCGTCTGTAACCCGAGGTACCACTGTAGTAGTTTATTTCCTTGACATCTGACAGGAGGGTGTTTTACAGGGCAGGTGCCACAACCGAGGAGGCCCTCTGCCTGGTTCCCTGTAACTTCACTTTTCACAGTGAAGGAACCACCAGAAGGCCCTTAGCACTGGACCTCTGTGTCCAGGCTGAACGATGGGGGTGGAGATGCTTCTTCAGGTATACTGGGCAGAGTTAGCTCACTGGCCCTTACAACAATTCTGTAAAACTGTGATTTGCCAAATATCATAGAATTGTAGAGTTGGAAGGGACCCTCAGGGTCATCTAGCCGAGCCCCCTGCAATGCAGTTGTCCCATATGGGGATTGAACCTGCAACCTTGACATTATCAGCACCTTACTTTTGCCAGCTGAGCTATCCAGGATATCATCATATCATTTCTTTTCTGTCTGCATTTCAGTGTGGTTTCATATTATAAATCAGGCATAGGCAAACTCGGCCCTCCATACATTTTGGGACTACAACTCCCATTATTATCATCCCATACCACTGGTCCTGTTAGCTAGGGAGGTTGGGACTTGTAGTCCCAAAACATCTGGAGGGCCGAGTTTGCCTATGCCTGTTGTAAGTGGTCTGTGTGCGAAAGGGAGGCTTTAAAATTGTCAACAGGGCGGTGTCCTCGGGCTGCAAGATAATGACATGTTGTTATCTTTATCGTCACCTCCGCTGCATGCCTCCCAAAACAACAACAATAACAACATCCAGGGGCGAACGAAGGCTAACAGACACCCGGGGCGGAGCAAACCGCTGGCTGTGCACACGTTGCGCCTGCTAGAATTCCTGATCTATGATTGCAGTCATGGGATTTTTGTCTATCGCATGATGGTGTATGTTTTGACTCCACAGAGTGGGAAGTGATGAAGACAGGATGTTTGTGTTACTGTGTTCTGTGAAGTGGGACTATTGTCCTTTGTTCTTTTTCTCTTTGCTGTCGCATGCATGCACTGTACATAGTGACACCGCACATGCGTTGTATATAGCGGCTTGCGGCTGCAGCGGCAGTGGAGGGATCCCACCTCTGTCTGCACAGTGCTCGGGCAGCGCTGGGGGCAAACTGCTATGTACAGCACATGTGCAGTGTTGCTACATGCAGCGCATGCATGCAGCACCGCGCATGCGTTGTACATAGCGGTTTGCCACTGGTGCCCCTCAAACACTGTACTGACAGTGGCGGATCCTCTTCCCGCGGCTGCAGCCACGGAGGATCCTCCACATGTGGCTGCGGTCGCGCAATGGCTGCTCGCGCTGCCGCGCCCAGGGGTAGTGGGGCAAGCACCCCGCGGGGTCCCTTCTTGTCACCCCTCCAGACACGGCACCCGGGGCGCACTGCCTGCCCCCCTTGCAACACCACTGAGAACAACTATCACTCAGATTATCAGAAAGCAAGCTAATGCCTGAACTGTCACTTGCACCTGTGTTGCATCCTTCTTTTAAGTCCAGGGTTGTTCATCATCATGGTGCAGCTGAAAGAGAGGAAAAGGCGGAGTAAGAGCTGGAAAGGGGGGGGGGGTTGCACTATCACAGCTTTCCTTCTTTCCTTTGAACATGGGGCCCTCCCGATTTTTCAGGCAGGAACCATCACCCTTGGCCATCGCCCATGCTGGCTCCTGCAGACAGGAGTTGTAGTTCAAAACATTGCGTCGGGGGAGGCTGCATTAACCCATCCATTGTCTGCAAGGGAGACCCCCCCCGCTCCCTCTTGCATCAATTCTATTGGACAGCTGAGTTTCTTGCTACCTTATAGACCGGCTTGCTCCTTCCAGCTTCAGCACTTGCTCTCGTGCTCTCTCCCCGTGTCTCACACGCTCCACATCTCCCTCACGCACAGGAAGACAAAGATATGCCAGCGAGCCCCGCATCACCTTGCAGGGAACAGCTAATCCACTTCTCTGACACTCAGTACTTGGGGGCTTTTCAGTAACAGACGGAGCATCAGCTTCATTGCCCACAGCACTGGGCTCAGGTCATCCTACTGGGTCTGAATCAAAGCATCTTCCACTCTTCTTCTGGAGCTAGCAGAAAATCACCCACACCTTCTGCCGGCAGATGGACAGAGGAGGAGGCGGCAGCCAGAACTCACTACCTTTCTAACCTGTTGAAGAGGCTGACCACACCTGCAGCAAGGTAAGACAGCTTGATCCCAAAAGGGTTTTTCTCCTCCTCCTTTCCCTCTTATACACCAGCTCCTTAGGATGGTGATGGAGAGATAATGGGTTGTATTCCATGCTAGTCTTGCTCAGAGTAGACCCACTGAAGTGAGTGGACATGACTAACCAGTGTAACAACAAAAGCCTTTCCAAGACCATCTCCACCAAACTTGTCATTATAATAATAATTGCCTTTTTCATGCGTAAGGAGGTACGGAACTTTGTAAAACCACCTGTTTCTAGCGATGGATAATAATTAACAACCTGATGACAAAAGCCTTTCTAAAGCCCTATCCACCGAATTATTACAAGAGTAATTACCTTTTAAAAACCATAGCTGGGGAGAGATCCAACTTTGTAAAACCATCTCTTTCAATGGATTTGGGTCCAAATTAAAAAGTGGGTAGGGACAGTGTTCAGTCTTCCTTCTTTCCCCCTCTCCATACATGATTCTGCACACACTCCCCTGTGCTAGAAAAGGATATATAAGATGCATCCTTTTAACACACACGTGTATTTCCCCCCCCCCCACCTTTGGAGGTGCTTTGGGGTTAGAAATCTGGAGGCGGACATAAGTGTTTGGGTTGTTAATCCCTATACATGTCTACTCAGAAGTAAATTCAGTGGTTCCTATTCCCAGGTAAATGAGTATGTGATTGCTGCCGAAAGGAACTCTATATAAATCATCCTATTAGATGTGACTTAAAGTCCATGCTGCCTGGTGCTTTGCCTTCAACAGCGACAAGTCAAATGTCTTTGAGAAACTCACAATCAAAGCAAGAAAGTGATTGGAACCCCTTGTTCTTTGTTCCCACCTAGCATCCCACAAGGGTACACTGATTCTGAATATGGAGGATCCATTCTCTGCTTTCATTTCTTTTTTAAGGAAACCCAAAGGCAAAGAGGCCACAATTCTTCCCTAGATCTTGGGACCCTTCAATGCTTGTTCTAAAGAGCAACTTCACAGGTCACAACATTTCTGCCCGGAAAGCATTTCCACACAGGGAAACGTGTGTGTGTGTGTGTGTGTGTGTGTGTGTGTGTGTTTAGGGGAGAGGGACTCTCACACCTGGGGGGTTAATTCTGTTCCCTGCAGGTAAATTGCTCTCCGTATAGGAATTCTACAGTATGTGGAGCAGCTTCTGCTCTGTTTGGTATGCTGCTGCTTGAGGCAGCATAAATGGAGAGAGAATCATAGAATTGTAGAGTTGGGACCCCAAGGATCATCTAGTCCAACCCCTGCAATCCAGGAATCTCACCATGAACGCCTTCCTTGTTCTCTTATAATGGCAGTGGCACCCACCTGAGAGGTTCTGGAACTGAATTCTGGGGTGAGTTCTGACTGGGGGGAAAGCCCTGACTCACATTGTATGTCATTAAAACGTCACTTAGAACTGTAATTAAAACAACACAAATTACTAGAGCGCAGAAGTGGAGGGGAAGCACAGTTCTAAACAGTTTTCCGCTTGACCCAAGCTGTCTAGGCAGAGGTCTGAGTGGTTTTCCCCTCACACCACTCCTTTCTTGGGGAAAACCAACTCTTTAGCACTAAATCGGAACAAATGTCAATATGGATAAAACTTGAATTGTTGTTTGCTCCAATTGAGCCCTAAAGAGTGGTTTTCCCTGGGGGTGAAAGCAGCAGGACAAGATGAAACTGAGTCCTAAGAGTACAATGAAAGTGCCAAGTGGCTCGCTGAAGTGAGGGAGTTCCATTGCAAGGGGCCACTACAGAGAAGGCTCTCCTGTGCACCACTGTCCCTGGGATCCCAAAGGATTGTGGTACCATCAGCAAGATCCCCCACTCTTCAGTTGTTTGAGACACAAGCTGTTTTGCTGCTTTGTAGGTAAGGTAAGGTAAGGTAAGGTAAAGGACCCCTGGATGGTTAAGTCCAGTCAAAGGCGACTATGGGGTTACGGCGCTCATCGAGCTTTCAGGTCGAGGGAGCCTGCGTTTGTCCACAGACAGCTTTCTGGGTCATGTGGCCATCATGACTAAACCAGTTCTGGTGCAACAGAATACCATGATGGAAACCAGAGCACAAGTAAACACCGTTTACCTTCCTGCCACAGCAGTACCTATTTATCTACTGGCATGCTTTGTATATCAACATAACCACCTTGAATTGGGCACCTTGGGAAAAAGGAGGGATATTTCCCATTTTCAGGAAAATTTTGAACTGGAAAAATGCCCAGATAATAGGTAAAGGTAAAGGGACCCCTGACCATTAGGTCCAGTCGTGGCTGACTCTGGGGTTGCGGTCGCTCATCTCGCTTTATTGGCCGAGGGAGCCGGCGTACAGCTTCCGGGTCATGTGGCCAGCATGACTAAGCCGCTTCTGGCAAACCAGAGCAGCGCATGGAAACGCCATTTACCTTCCCACTGGAGCGGTACCTATTTATCTACTTGCACTCTGATGTGCTTTCGAACTGCTAGGTGGGCAGGAGCAGGGACCGAGCAACGGGAGCTCACCCCGTCGCGGGGATTCAAACAGCCAACCTTCTGATCGGCAAGTCCTAGGCTCTGTGGTTTAACCCACAGCGCCACCCACGTCCCGCCCAGATATTATTGTCAGGCAAATTAGGATAATTTCCATAGTGTAACAAATCAGAAACAAACCAGTTTGCATCGGGGGTAAGGGGATGACCTAAAGCAAGGTTAGCCAATGTGGACCCTCCAGATGATGCTGAATTCCCATAATTTATTTTCCTTTTTTTGAAGATTTTATTGGTTTTTTAGTTTTATATTCAATCAGACAACACAATATAACATTTGTCATATAAAAGAAAATGAAACCCCACCTCCCCGTGACTTCCTTCAACTTCCCCTTCTGGTTCTTTAAATATTTACTACTTCTGCTTAAGTATTGAACTACCATAATTTTCTGACACTTGCTGGTTGGGGCTGACGGGGAGTGAAATCTGGAGAGCACTATCCTGGCTACCTGCCCTAGAGAGTAATCTAATTTAACAAGGTTTATTTTACTTGTATTTAGGCTAAACAGTTTGAAAGTACAAAGCTTGCCTAATATTGTACTCACAGCTGGCACCCACTCATGGTTACTAATGAACTTATAAAAGGGAATTTTCTTTCCCGCGGAAAAATTAAGCAGCGCAAGATTTTTCTGCCCAGCAAACTGATCAGTGCAATAACATGATTAGATTTTATTAGGCAATAGATATTGGAGTGGATACCCTTCTTACAATAGGAAAGGCGGAGGTAGGGATACGGATTTAAGAAGAAAAGCACGACCACCAAGGCGATGGGAGTGGCGTCCAGTGGTCAGAGCGGGAGTTAATAAATCGGAGGGCGTCGCGCTGTGTTCTCAAGCCTCGATTAAACCTTTTCCTCCCCGGCCAACTCTTTCCTCCGCCTTGTCTGGAGAGAAAGCGCTTAATGAATTAACAGCTCGCCGGCGGCGCGCCTGGCGTTTGTTAGCTGTGCGTGCGTTGAAGCAGCTGGGCGCGCATCAATTAGCGCGCCTAATGGGCCTTGGCGGCTCCGGAGCACGTGGCCCTGCGCTCCCCCGACGGCTCCGGTGTCCCAAAGCGGCCCGCGGGGCCGGCTGGCTCATCCTAATCCGTCATTATTAGCAAACCTCCCGCCGTCGCCACCGGGGACGAGGGCGCAGGAATGGGAGCGGGCGAGCCTGCCTGCAGATCTCCCGCCCCGTCGCGGGGAGGTTGATTGATGAGCCTCATGCAGAAGGAGACGCCCGCTTGGAGGCTGCTAACGGGCTGAATAGCAGGGGCAAGGCGCGCCCCGCCCGCTGTCTGCGCAACCGAGCGCCGTCCAAAGAGAGACGGTATTGGCGCACATACCCACCGCCGGTGGCTACATCGAATCAGAATTGGCAGAGAACCCAAGGATCATCTAGTCCAACCTCCTGCCATGCAGGAATAAGCGGCTGTCCCATACGAGGATTGAACCTGCAACCTTGGCGTTATCAACACCACTCTCTAGCCAATTGAGCTATCTAGGCATAAGAGGCAGCATAGTTCAACAGGTCGAGCTCACCCCCCCCCCATGGAGGAGGGAATGCTGAGAAAAACCACACCGGTTGAACATCTGCCTCCATGCACCAATAAGAATCCCCTTTCCCAGTTCCCCTCCAGGCTCCAGCTTTAATAAATAAGGAAGCTTTTAAAAAAGAGGAGGCACACTGCGCTTTGAACAGTTCTAGTTCGCGCTGCAAGCCCTCCGTGGCTTGGCCTGATCAATTCCCCGACTTCTGTCCGCCCTCCATGGAAATGTAAAGAATTCCTGCCGTTAAGGTGCTGCCGGAAATATTGGAGCAGAAAGGGATTGCGGCGCGCATCTGAAGGGGCAAACGTGCTCTTGGGGTTTCGCTTCCCTTTCTAGAGAGCAGGGGGTCGGGGGACGAGACCCTGGGAATTCGGCCGTAGTTATTGACACGAAGGGACAAGCGAGGCGCAAAAGGAGACAAGCAGCATCTTCGCAGTCATCTACTTCTTAGTTCTTTACAGAGATGCACCTCGCTAACTCTGTTCTGTGCTGCCCTTGTAAACGATGAAGGAAGGTGCGTTATATCCAGTCAGACCGCTGGGTGAAACACCAGAATTGGAGGTGCCTGTCTAATTTAGTAGCTCCACATTAGCGGTGCCATGACATTAAAGGCCTTACTAAATGAATATGATGTACTTGTCGCGTGACAGTATTGTAGTCCAACAATATCTGGCAGCCTGCGGATTCCTGCCCTTGTGCCTAGAGTCCCATCAACATCATGGCATGAAGTGCGATTCTGGTAAGGTAGCCAGTTGCAAGAAGTCGTCTTCTTCTTCGGTGATCACTGGTAGCTGAGTAAGAGTGTCTTCCCTGAGGTCTTAACAGTGTGTCTCTAAGTGACTGTGGAGGCCAATTTTGGATCCGCACATCCTTCTACAGTGGGGACATAGGTTTCTGGGCGGGAGTTTATTACGGTGAGGATTTCCTCTTAGCTCGTTTTTCCCTTTCGTCCTGAATTCGCGCTTGTTCCAGGCATCCTAACAACATGAGCAGTCCAACGAAGTCGATGTTAAAGTAACAGGGCGCAAAATGTAAACATGGGCGTTTTGCTGCAAAATGATGGTCCAGTTCCTTTTTCATATATCATCAAGAAACGGGGGAAAGGTGCCGTTTTCAAAACCTCCTGCGGACTGGTGACTTTTCTTTTCACTGGCCTGGCTTTTTGTACTCAGTACACAGTCGGTTGAGAACAGTTTTCCCTGACACAGAGTGTGGAATTTTCACCTGCTTAACTTCTGTGCTGGGCTGCTGTTAACAGCAGAAGAGCAGGGGGTTAGTAAAACATGGTGGTCTTGCAACCCCCAGCTACCTGCATACCTTTTTTATTTTGCTGTTTCCAGGTTGTATGTCTCTGGGCATTTAAACAGCAGCTGGAATGGGTTTTGAGAAAGGTTGCACAATGCGTACCACCCACACGCAGAGAGCTTCTAGGTTACAGCTGTCCCCAGCAGGCCAGACGCAACAATAGCTATGTTATTTATACAGCCGCAGGAGTGTTGCATAACAAGATTGCATACAGATGGTGATCTCCAGCAGGGATGCAAGAAGCGGAGCCGAAAACCTAAGTTCTTATCCGAGAGACATCCAGCAGATTTTTCTCTCTCCTCCAAATCTGAAATGCCAAAATTCTGGATTCAAGAATAGTCTTATATTAAAACCCCCGCCACCATCAAAATTATCATTGCACAACTGAACTCTGAACGCTAGTAACAATGTTACAAGCTGAAAATTCAGTGTGGTGTAGTGGTTAGAGTGTCGGACTAGGACCTGGAAGACCAGGGTTCAAATCTCCACACAGCCAGGAAGCAAACTGGGTGATTTGGGGCCAGTCACTTACCCACCTCACAGGGTTGTTGTGAGGAGGAAGAGAACCATGTATGTCACCTGGAGTTCCTTACAGGAAAGGTGGGTTGTGAATGCAGAAAATAAAAATAAATAAAATGTGCTATGATTTCAAAAAAGCTCTCACGATAGTCTACATTTGTGCTTGCAAATCTGAAAGGAGAGATTAGATCCACCAGTACCTTTTCCCCGATCTACGTCATTAACATATTCCTACGTGTTTGCCTTCAACATGAATGCTGAATTTAGAGAGAGAGGCACTGTGGGGTTTTTGAGCAGGCGAACTGCCCCCATGAGGGCTTGGCACGTTTCTTCACTGACCAACTCCCACCATGGCAGCTCTGCTTGCTCTACCTCTTCCCATCTCTTGGCAACAGAAGATCTCTACAACCCCTTATGCAACTTTCTGCTTTGAACGGTGCTTCATTCATCCAAGCTGCCCTCCAGCTCACGCTTCTCCCTCCCCTCTGCTCTGCGTAATATTCCCAGCTAGAAAGAAGTTGTGCTGTAACCAGAGCAACAGAGATTGCCCTTGAGAATTTCACTTACTGAGATATATATATATATATTTAAAGTAATTGCATAGGGTGGTGGGTGGGTGGGAGAAAGGAGTGGTGGAACAGAACTGAAAAGGGAGTACAGGGTTCTCCTCTGGATGAAAACCCAGAAATCCTGGCCCCCTCCAGTCAGACAACCTTTTTCTTCTTCTTCACTCGTAGATCCTAGAGGAGACTTAGTTCAATATGAACTGGGCACTGCCCCACCAATCTGTCTGCCCTTAGCCAACCCCCTGCAAGTCTGCCTTCTTTTTTCCATATCCATATCTATCTATCATCCATCTATCTATCTAAGCTATCTATCTATCTATCTATCTATCTATCTATCTATCTATCTATCTATCTATCTATCATCTATCATCTATCATCTATCATCTATCATCTATCATCTATCTATCTATCTATCTATCTATCTATCTATCTAATCTATCATCTATCTATCCTATTGAAGTTTTCAAATCATAAGGACAAATTTACAAAAGGGAAACAAGAAAGAGAGGAGAGAGATAAGATCTCTCAATTAATTACCAATATGCTGAATGCATGGTGGATCAAACAAAAATGTTAATCTTAATTCTCTTGTGGGTTTTTCCATGTGTACACCATATGAATACGATCAAGACAAGATAAGAGTGCATGGGTGTGTTGTGTCTTATTGTTTGCATTTCCATGCAACTCATACTATATAGCAAAAGCTAGAAGGACCACCCACCCATATACCTCCTTATTCTACTCTTACAAGCCACCTAGATTTTAGTGGCTGAGTACACGGAGGGCGGGGTTTTCCCTTTGGGCTGCAGACTCTTGCATTGGATAGAGTGGCTGTGAACGGAAAGAGGAGGGTGAGGGGTTGAAAAGCTGCAGCGAGGATGCAGAAGACACCCTGTCGCCCTTTTATCCCTGCTCAAAATAATGATGAAGTTGGTGGTGCTTATCATTTAGGTGGTGCAGTTATGGCCAAGGACCTCATGTACCCCAAGTCCAGAGTATGAGAAAGTGTTGCTATTGGGGAAATTACAGCACCTAACCCTGGACAGCTCCCTTAGCCTTGGTGTGGCTTTGCAATGAGCACTCAGCACAGGAATTTAAGAATAACCTTCCTGGATCAGACTAAAGGCCCCTCTGGTCCAGCCTCCTATTCTCCCAGAGGCCAACCAGATGTTTTTGGGGAAGCCTGCAAGCAGAACCTGTGGGCATCAATACTCTGCTCACCTGTGATTCACAGCTTCAGGCATTCATAGGTATGCTGACACTTGACAGTGGAGGTAGAGCATAGTCACCATGGCTAGTACCCTCCGTGATTTTGTCTAATCCCCTTCTAACATCATCCAAACTGGTGGCCATCTCTTCATATTCCATAGTTTTAACTATGTGCTGCAGGAAAGCAAGGGACGAGCTCATGCCCCACTCAGTGCCACATCTGGGCCCATAGATCCAGGGGGAACCTCAAACCACTACAACTTATTCCAGTGGTTTCCAAACCTCCTTTCCCCACAGACCACTTGAAAACTGCAGATGGTGTTGCCTTTTGCAACAATTGTAATGTGCTAGATGCTGCATGACTCTAAATTGCATTACTGTTGCTTCTTTTATTTCTTAAATACACATTCCATAGAATTCAGATTGCATTGCAGTAAAATGCAATATAAGAAATGGAAGAAGCAATAAAAAATACAATCAAAACCAATGTGTATGTTTAATGCAAGGAATGCGCCATCTCTTTTCTTCAACCACAAATCCACACACTGTGGACAACCTGAATGAAGCTGCTAGACCACTGGTGGTCCATGAACCACAATTTGGGAACCCATGACCTATTCCACCTGCGACTGTTTGGCCATCCATGATACACTAGTACAGGGATGGGATACCTGTGGCCCTCCAGCTGTTGCTGGGCGACAACTCCCATCATCTCTGACCTTTGGCCACGCTGACTAGGGCTGATGGGAGTTGGAGCCCAACCAATGAGCTCTCCACCCCAACATAAGTGATGGCACTATATAAAAATTATAATTAATGGGTTTTCTCTCCTTCTCTCTTTGGCAGGGAGATGTCAACAAGCCCAGCAGGCAATGTCTCCTCATCCTCTCTGGTCCTGGAGGAAGCCACTGTGCGCAGCACTGTAAAGATCATCACTGGAGTGATCTTCAGCTTCATCTTCCTAGCTGGGGTGACTGGGAATGGGATAGTGTTGTGGGTCACCGGCTGGAAGCTCCGCTGGACCTCCAACACCATTTGGTTCTTCAACCTTGCCTTGGCCGACTTGGCTTCCACCTCCCTAATCTTCGTCACAGTGTTGAACTTGGCCCTGGACCTGCACTGGCCCTTTGGCTCAGTGGCCTGCAAGGTGGCCAACTGCCTTTTTGGGCTGAGCGTGTGCAGCGGTGTCCTGCTACTCAGCTCCATCAGCGTGGACCGCTGCGTGTTGGTGGTGGCCCCCGTCTGGTGCCAGAACTATCGGACCCCACGCCTCACATGGGGGACTTGCGGGCTCCTCTGGATGATCTCCCTCACCTTCTTCGTCCCCAGCTCTTACTTCTTCACTGAGATCTCAGTGGAGAAGAATAACCGGAGCTCCTGCAACAACCTGGACATCTTCCAGGACTGGCAGGAAGCAGAAGTCCTCACCATCTGCATTTTTCTCTACCAGTTCCTCCTGCCCTTGCTGGTCATCTCCATCTCCTACACCATCCTGGTGGTGACCATGCACAAGAAGAAGCTCAACAAGTCCAGCAAGCCCTTCTTGGTGGTTACCAGGGTGGTCTTCTGCTTCTTCCTCTGCTGGCTGCCCTACCATGCCCTGGCTCTGGCAAGGATCTCTATGGATGCTGTTCCAGATGCTGTGCACCTGGTGGCCATCCCTCTTTCCAAGTGTCTGGCCTTGTTCAACAGCTGCATCAACCCCTTGCTCTATGTCTTTGTGGGGCAGGAGTTCAAGGATGCAGTGAGGAGGTCCTTGCTGCAGGTCTTCAAGACAGCTTTTGAAGAGGCACCAGTGGCCACCAGTGTTTGAGATAAGCAACTGCCAGTGTTGCAGAAACCAGAGAAGGCACTCTTCTTTTTAAAGTCACGATATCTCAACACAGTGCTCCATTGACTGTGCAGCTGGAGACGAGAGGATCCCTAAACACAGACCTGTGTATACTGTGCATTTAGATACAACATTCTGCAGCAAGGTCCCATGCAGTGACATTCTGCAGCCTATATTCAATTCTGCAAAACTGACATACGTCTTTTTCAAGGTTAAAAAGAGAGGAGAATTATCCTATTCCTGCTCGTTATGAGGGACAAGGAATTAGGTAACGAAAGCTCACCTCTGACAATTAGAAATACTGCTCAGGCTTCCCTTTCTTGAATCCTGAGATTTCCCTAGATATTGCCCATTGATCTTCAAGCCTTTTTTGCAATCACAAGGGCTAGAAACTGGACATTTTAAAAATAAGGCTGGGGCTCACAAGGTGTCAGGGCTGGAGTCAGGCACAGGTCAGCACGAAAGACACAAGGCTCCGTTGCCAGTAAAGCCAACTCTTTATTCAAGGAAATGGCAGACAACTCAGCAACCCTTCCCAGCAGGTCTTGCCTCTATGGAGCAGTTGCCCAGACTGAAGGTCCCTTTCTCCCACCCTTTCTAAGGCTCCTCCTCTCCCAGATGTTTTCCAAGCAGTCTCAAACTGTGTCTGTGCACCTCTGGTCTCTGACCTCTCTTTATTCTGTGTGTTCTTGGAGACCAGGGGGCGGGGGAGAGAGCTTGTCACAGTAGGAGAAGCAGACTCTCTGGATTCTTCAGCAGCCTCTTGACCCCCCCCCCTTCCTCTGCTTCAGCCTTGGAGTCTGAACTGCTTCCTGTCACTGGCTCTCCCTGCTCACTAAACTCCATTGCCCCTTCAGCATCCAGCCCTGCCTCTCCTGCTGAACTCTCTTTAGTGTCCCATCACTGACTCTCAGGCTCGGAGCCTTCTTCCTCTGGGGTTTCCCTTGGAGGTTCCCCGGCTGGTGCCTCCCGCCACTCCTCCCTGTCCAGCTAGTCCCTGACACAAGGTAAGACATTTTACTCTGCCCTTGTGTTGTCAGCATTGCTAAATGCACACAACTCTGCCAACCTGGGACTTCTCAGCCCTCCTTGATGCCTCTTAGTTCTGATCACCAGTGTGCTGTGTAATCCTGCCCAGAGGTGTACCTAAGCTCCCTTGGCAAGGAGCTGTATTGACACCTCTAAAACTGGGAGAGACCATGAGCCAGAAACTCAAAACGCTTGCTCGCTCCACCAGTGAATTCCTCCATGGCTGTTGGGATCAGGTCTGCTCTGTGATGGCCCATGACAGCAGCCAAAGTCCTCCACCAAGGCACCCAGATGAGCCTATGTGCCTTGCATGGCCACCCAGAGAAGCAGATGAGCAGCCTGGAGAGCACACAGATGGGCAGGTGGACTCAGCCACTCTGAGCCAGAGTGGCAAGGCATGATTTTTGTGCCCCGCCCCGGGCCTGAGTCCTTGGTGGGGACCAACCTTACCAACCCCTTGGTATGCCCCGATCCATATCTACTGAGATTTAAGTCCTATTGTGATCAATTGGACTTACTCCAGGGCAGCATTCCCCAACCTCATGCCCTCCAGATATCATTATGACTCTGATTTCCATCAGAACCTTCCAACATGGTGGACAGTCAGGGGCAATGGAAGCTGTAGTGACAACATCTGGAAGGCAACCAGATCAGGAACTACATCCTTGCCTCTCTAATGCAACAGCTGTCCCTATTTTAGTGAGCAAAGTTCTGCGAAGTTGGGTGTGACGTTTGCCAGCTTTACCCTCGGATCCTATTCAGCAATTAGCCGGCTTCTGCATTTGTTCTTGAAGATGCTGCTCAAAATAGTCTCCATTGCCATCCCTGGAAAAATGAAGTACTGTACATCTTCTCGACCCTTTTGCAACTTTCCCATGGACCACTTGGATGGAGCTGATGGACCACCAATGGTTCATGTACCACAACTTGAGAACATTTCGTTTACAGGGTGTCGGACCAGCTTTTTGTAGTGTGGAAACCTGCCACGTCGCTGCTTTGTGGTGAAGTTGGGTCCAGCAGGAGAGCCCCACTTTTAGACCATGGCCAGCCAAAGATGGAGGCTGGAGGCGAAGAATACAAAATTGCTACTACCCACTAAATAACACAGAACTATAATTCAGCAGGGAGTTGTCTTGCCTAACTCCCCCTCTCCTTGTGTGTGCCTCTTCTAAAATAGTGCATGCAATCTACAGTTTTTATAGGTGTTTCATAAAGAGTTATTTTTTTTCTTAATGGTGTACCAATAAATTGGGGCGGGGGAGTGCTTTTTAATCACTCACATGGAATGTACAGAGCTGCCTTACACTGAGTCAGACTATTGGCCCATCCAACTCACTATGGCCTGCACGGACTGGCAGCAACTCTCCAGGGTTTCAGAAAGGGAGTCTCTCTCAACCCTATGTAGAGATCCCAGGGAGTGAACTTGGGAGCTGCTGCAATCAGGGCAGCTGCTTCAGTCCTGAGCCATGGTCTTTCCCTGAATGCTTTTAACTCAAAATGCTTTTAAACCTGTCTTAACCGATTCAGCACCAGCACCTGCAATTTTTTTTTTTTTTTGCGGTTTTGGATTATTTCCTTTCTCTCGCATACACAAAAGTGCATTTGATGATTTTTGAGCAAATTCCTCATTTTTCAAATTTGGTCTACTTGTGTCTCTTTATAATCCCCAGGGGTATTTCATAGAGTCATAGAAATGCAGTTGGAAGGAAACCTGAGCATCATCTAGTCCAACTCCCTGCAATGCATGAATATGCAGGTGGCCCATAAGGGGATCGAACCCGTGATCATGGCCTTGTTAGAACCACACTCTAACCAACTGAGCTAACTCGTGGTCCAGCAAATTATCTGACCATTGCAAATGTTTTTATTGAGGGGGAATGCAAAAATGGGGGACCGTTCCATCCCAACCCAGCTGCTGACTGAAAGATAAGGGAGTGGTGTGTGTGTGTGTGTGTGTGTGTGTGTAGAGTAGAAAGGGAGAAATATTATTGTTGTTGTTGTTGTTGTTGTTGTTGTTGTTGTTATTGTTGTTGTTATTATTATTATTATTATTATTATTATTATTATTATTATTATTTATTACCATTGGACCTCAAGATGACATTGCAGTCCATCAGCCCCACTCAGTATGCCTGATGTTCAGAGATAATTGGAAGTGCAGTACAGCAACATCAGGACCATCACCAGCTTCCCACCCCTGGTGTAGAGAGAACATCTACTGCAGCTGGATAGAGGAAGGCAATTAAGTGTGAACAGGATTTTTTCACAAAGAGGTGGTGGGTTATGGGGAACTGGCATAATGACTGGATTCCTTGAAACACCAGCAACCCCCGTTTCTCAGCTTTTTAACACCCCCAGATTGCATTCTGTTTGTTTTCATTTTGCTTGCAACAATGAGGGCTAGAAACTTGATAATTACAGAAGAAACTGCTGCGCGGATGCGCTGAACACATGCAGCTAGGGTTGCCACCTGCCCTGCATAAATACAGGATTGTCCCGTATTTCAATGTGAAACTCTACGTCCTGTATTGATACAGTTTTGTCCTGTATTTCAGGTCTTCTCTCTCAATCTGTGCCAAGTTAAGGGATCTGCTCCAAACGCATCTGTTTGAAAGGGTGTGTGAAAGGTCATGTATTTAAGCTCTGAATAGCCAAGCACAGACAGATTTGCAAATTCATGTGTATGTATGTGCAACAAATTCCAGAGAGGCCATCCTGTTAGGTTGAAATAGATTGTAATGGATTGCTTTGAAGACACTTCAGCACCAGCTTGGGGGGGGATTCCCTCCAACCCCCCACCCCCACCCCCACCCCGTCCTGTATTTTGCCAGAATAAAGGTGGCAACCCTACACGCAACATGGGAGAATGTTCAAAATGCTCTTTCAGTCACTTGACATCGCTGGTGGCCTTTGCAAACCCTGTTTCAAGAGAAGTATAATTTCCCTTTCTATACACCGTTCCCCCCGCGACGTCTCTTCAGCTTGCATCTGCACATTTTGATTACCAATCAAGATCTCTGTGGGATTGTTTGAGACTCTGGCTCATCAAAACCGATGTTTACAGAGATGAAAAGAAATGACTTTTGCGTACCCGTAACAGGAAACACTGCCCACCTCATTGCTGTCGACACTGTGCCTGCCGTCTCTGATGCCTGACTCATGCGATGCCCAAGACGTTTTGCTGCCTTTTGCCAAGGACAAGATGACTTTGCACTGACCGTTCCAATGAACAGAACTCAACTCAAGTGGCAGCTGAGAACTGAAATACTAGCTATGGGAGGAACTGCAGCCTCCACCGCTGCCGGATGCAGCAGGTTAGCTTCATGGCCACTGCCAACCAGGGCAGCTGCCTCACTCTGCCCAATGGTAGGGCCATTCCTGTTGGGCCTGCTCTGATACCCCCCTACAGAAACGAGGCTGTTCCCCTCCTGCTTCCCCTCACAACTCCCATCACCCCTTATGCAATCACTTGCGAGTGTGTATGAAGGGGCATTAGGGCTCTATCAAGCAAGGATAGAAGCAGTTTTTGCTTTGCTTTTTTCCTCCGCATAAGCTTTTAAGCAGGCAGCAATTTGTGGCATCATACGTCAAGTGTGCCTTGTCTCTTTCAGGGTTTGTGGCTGCGGCAAAGAGATTGAGAGATGTAGCTGGAAGTCTGAAGAGTCACAAGGCTCAACCCGCACTGTAGACTTTGCCGCTTTCTCAGCAAGCGTCCCAGAGTTTGTTCCTCCTCCTGGCTGCAAGGACAGCACTTGGGAGGAGGAAGTTAATGGGCAGGGCCACCTTTGGGGTAGGTTGTTAAGCAAGGCAGGCAGGCAGGCAGGCAGGCAGGCAGGCAGGCGAGAGTTGGTGAAGGGGAGGCAGAAGCTAGTTGTTCAGCGCATCCTTTGCCCTAATGAATGAGCCTCCATTGGTGACTGCATGCTCACCTGCTCCTGGTGAGGCCATGAACAGCGAGAAAGGAGTGGCGCCCTCTGCTCATCTTTCCTTCTGGATTGGGCCCACAGAAAACGGAAAGCTATGACATTGGCAAGGACCTAACCAGAGAATCTTGCCCAATGCTCCCCTCTGGCCAGCACCCAGATTGAACTCTCGGTGCTGAAAACAGCATCCAGTGACAAAGCCAAATGCATTGGAGTGGGGGCTCTGCTGCTAAAATGCCTG